GTAAGGCAACTCGAGGCTACAGTGGGATGTACTTTGGCAAAGTCGATCCAGTACCATAAGATACGCAGGACGTACGGTCTATCTAGAATACCTGCAATCCGTCCATAGCTTGACACAAACCAAAATCCGTTTTCCGGCAATAACTTTAAGCTTCATGCGCCTAACGTTCTGAAAAATGGATATTTTGTAGATTGTAGTCACTGGCCAGGCCTGGCAAAATTTCAGGCGGTTTACTACGGTGTAAGGAACCGAAAAACGCTCGTAGTCATTGCCCCCCAGGGCCCATCTTCACACCCTCCCGGCTAGCGTTGTCACTTTGTCTTCCCAAAAATGTCAGCGGGTGATCGGAATTGTGGGTTGTGTGATGATGGCCGGGGATATGCGGTAGTTAATATACCCCGAGGGCCAATACCCTGTCAATACATTCCCCTCTTGACACTTGACCCGCTAATAATAGCGCTCAACATTTATTGGGGCATGCAGTTGACAAGTGTTATGATGGGTGGAGACGGAAAGAAACGGAATTGAGAGTTCCTGAGGGATCTCTGCTAGTCCACCTAAATATTTTAGACTTAATGTTTCGCATAAATTCTCCAATTACCCTTGCTAGCTTGCCTCTAACATGAGAATTCCACAAAATATCTTCGCTAGCTTGCCCGGCGTTTTACTACAACTACTTATACGTCGCTGACATTCTCGCTGTCTCGCTCGATCCCTCGCTCTCTCACTCTCTCACTCTCTCGCTCTCGCTCGCTCTCTCTCTATCTCTCACTCACTCTCGCGCTCTCTCACTCACTCTCGCGCTCTCTCACACTTGCTCTCGCTCTCTCTCGCTCGCTCTCTCACTCGCCCGCTTCACTCTCTCTCTCTCTCTCTCCCTCTCTTCTCTCTCTCTCTCTCTCTCTCTCTCTTTGTCTCGTTACTCGGGTCAAACTAAAGTCCCCGATGACGAATACGGTATCGGGGCAGCTTTTTGTGGCGCAGCCGCCATGAGTCGTCCCATTCTTCCCTCCCCCTTTATCGTCCATTTTCTGCATACAAAAGTTTTGCCATTTCTCGGGTGGTGTGTACCGAGTATTGACACGTAATAGAATCGGGGCAGGCTGGGAAGGATTGCTTAGGAATTCCGCGCTTGAGAGTAGAGAGAGAGAAAGCGAGAGAGAGAGAGAGAGGTAGAGAGAGAGAGAGAGAGAGAGAGAGAGAGAGGGAGCGAGCTAGCGAGCGAGAAAGACAGCGAGTGAAAAAAGGAAATTCGGAATTCAAGAAGCTACACGACACTCCAAACGACAGTGGGCCTGCCAAAGAAATCTGAATTTTCACAGCTTTTGTGCGTGCTTGCGGCCGGAAATTCGCTGAGTCTCAAGTTTCAGCCCCTTTTTCCTTGTCCAAAACAAACAATAACGAAACAGCAAGGAAACTGGCATGCAAATTATGTAATTTTTTAGTGAACAAGCGCCTAGAAATGTCGAATTTATCTAATGCACTAATCAAAGGCTAGAGAATGACTCTCGAAAGTGGAGAGCATCAAAAACGAGAGCCCTGAGGGCGCTTTTTGATGGAATCGACGATGAGCTCCTTTCATCTCATTCGCGAGGGTGTACGGAGTAGTGGAGCGGAATTTTCGCGCTAATTCAGGGATGGATTTCGTTATGGAATAACTGGAAGAGAGTGAGAGAGAGTTAGAGAGAGAGAGCTAGTGAGCGAGAGGGAGAGAGTGAGAGAGAGAGCTAGTGATATAGAGAGGGGGAGTGAGGGAGGAAGGCCAGAGAGAGAGAGAGAGAGAGAGAAAGAGCGAGAGAGAGAGAGAGCGAGAAGAGAGAGAGAGAGAGAGAGAGAGAAAACCGAAAAAGTCAAAAACCTATTTTAGGTTATTCAATAACACAGGTTGATAAAGTCGATACGGTAGCTTTTCCAACGCTTAAAACCAAGCAGCATTTAATCAAGTAAAATTCGCTACACCATGCGTAAACGCGAATGTTGTAAACCCCAGCCGGGGGGTTGTATTCCATATGCTTCCATTCCAGAACTGGTGGGGCACAACATTCCATCCGGGAAACTGATATGGGGGAGGATGAGAGAGAGAGAGAGAGAGAGAGAGAGAGAGATGCTCAGAACGAATACAAACATTGGCACCGGGCACCCATTCCGCGTCCCGCCACCAATTATATGCGAACCGCGCGGCACCCGTGGCCGTAAAACGGGCGGCTACGCTGATAAACTGTTGACAGCCGTTCGGAAGTTAAAGGGGCCGCGAAGCGCGAAAATCGAGCCTTGCTTTAGCGTGTTGCGTAGCTGTCTAGACCCAGCGGGTCGATTCTCGTGCTTCCTGATACCCTGATAGGGAGAGAGAGAGAGAGAGAGAGAGAGAGAGCGAGAGAGAGAGAAAGAGAGCGATGGAGAGAAAGGGGCTAAATTTTCAGGCCTACCCGTACCTTTAAAGCGTAAAAGTACTTATACGCTACTGTAAAAAGGCCATTAGTGGAGTGGGGGCTGCTGTGGGAGAGTGGAGGGGGCTGTGGCCGATGACTGTACGCGGGAATACTGAATACATGCCCCATCGGGGGCCTTTCATCTGCCGCCTCAACTAAAAAGAGCGATGCTCGGTCCCCGCCGGCACTTTAAAGGGACTGCGGAGTCGCGGATCGATCCCTTTTTTTATTAGGTATCAACAGATACGTGAACCACCAAATTACGCCGAGTTTTCGGCGTTAATGATAATTAAGCCAAAGTAGGCGAGAGAGAGAGAGAAAGGGAGAGAGGAAGAGAGAGCGAGAGAGAGAGAGAGAGAGAGAGTGTTGAGTGAGATTCCGTGGGCGAGAGGGAGAAAGAGAGAGAGAGGGTGAGAGAGAGGGCGTGAGAGAGCGCTATAGAGGTAGAAAAAGAAATATTCGAGACCGAATCGTGAAATGAAAGAAGTGACCCAATTTTACCTTTATGTGCTTTTTCCTAATTTTAAAACGGTGCTTGCTTTTAGGATTCAATTTATTTCAGACCTGTGGTTTTTAGTAATGGTTTCCTGCTTCGGGCTTTTGCGTAGAATTCAAGCTCGCCTTTCTCCCACCTCTGACTCACAATTCCACAACTTTCCAGCCTAGATGGCCTTTCAAACTTCCCTGCCGCCTCCATCATTGCATTCCCTAGGTAAAAGCCATCCATCCGAAGTTCCTTCCCCCTTTTTTAGGAGGGCCATGGGAACGCGGCTTTTTCCAGAGGTCACAAAGTGAGTGTGTCTCTCTCTCTCTCTCTCTCTCTATCTCTCTCTTCTCCATAAGTCACAAAGTGGAGGAAAAGCCATGCCTCCAATTGTCTTTGCTCATTTCCCATGCTGGATTCATCAGACTCGACTCGCCCCCGCTTTCTGCAACCCACTCACCTAGGGGCAGTCAAATGAGAGGAATTGGCCAGAAAACCAGACCATACTCGAAAGTCGGGCTCTGCAACCCGTCCACAGAATCATGCTGAGATCTGTCCGTACGCATTCGTACGCTATGCAGCCAACTACGCTCTAGTTTTTTCACCTGAATGCCGAGAATGCCAGGATTACATGTAACAAATACAAAAAGTTATGGCGGCAACGTGCTTTTTGTGGTAAACCAGGAATTGTCCCTTCTGGAAAACTTGGGATTTTCCGGACGCTCCTATTGACGGCCTTGATAGCGGACTCCGAGTGCTTCATTTTGTTTCCCCTTCATGTCCCCCGAACTCTTCAAAAATTCCATAATTTTTCTCTGCGCTTTCATTTCTGATCACCCTGTGTAAAATTTTGATTGCGGGTGTTTCTCGAAATTCTAATGCCTCCAGAACTCAAAAATTCAATATACGTCAATTCAAGATACTCAGAAGGAATTTGTGCATGCGTAATCATGAGAATACGACAAGTTCCTAAAAACGGTCTGGGAACATCGGAGACGACTCAAAAACTGATCAACCCGGCCCGGACTACAAAGGAATATTCTAGAAAATGAATTGAAAACAAGTAGCAATTAGAAAAGGGATTTGCCCCCGGGTTTTGGCCTTTTCAATGCTCACATCCGCTAATCCTCCCCGTGGCTATTCGCGGAAAGGTGATTTTTTTCTGCCGGTTTTTTTTTTGGGGAATCCTTTGAAGCGGAAGTCAAGGCCACAAGCCGAGATCAAACCATGATCGTTTGAAGAAAATATGGGATCTTATACTACAGGTGGAAAAGAGAGCGAGCGAGATAGAGAGATAGAGAGAGAGAGAGAGCGAGAGAGAGAGATAACTAGATTGAGCGAGAGTGAGCTGTCCTGCTGAATTGCCGGTGCCTTGAAGCCCTTAAAAGGAACAGGAGTGGCACAGAGAAAATGTGGGAGAAAGAGCGAGAGAGAGAGTGGGTGAGAGAGAGAGTGGGTGAGAGAGAGAGAAAGAGCTATCCGCTAAATTTTAAAGTTTCGCTTTTGATGTTTTAATATCTTGTGTAATTGTATAAGATTTAAAAACGCACTTTTCAAATTGATTTATTTCATTTCTTGCAAATTCCCGGGAAAGTACAATAATAATATTATAGAAAAAATGCAGACCCGTATTAGCATACACGTAGCAATGAGAGGCAACGGATAATGGGGGTTGATGTGGATTTTTGAAAATGAACGAAACTGTACAATTGACGAGCTGGGAAATCGAGAGTGGTCTCCCAGGATTGGGCTGCACGCAAAAACGGCAACTCGCTTTTCCGCGTTTCCGGAAAAGCTGTGGAAGTTGCCGGGGGAAATTATGCGGGAGCCGGAAGGTGGATTGGAGCGGAATTTCCGGGTCTTTCTCCCTCTCTCTCGTCCTCTCTCTCCCCGCTCCAATCCACCCTATCGCGTCATTAGTTCAACAGCGGAATGGGTGTGGATGATTTGGTGGGAATCCCGTCAAATCGAGGGATTTGGCGGGGGGTGACGATTTTGTTATTATTGGCGCGGCGGGATTTGTGGGGCCTATTCTAGGCGCGTCTGTACTTCTCCAGAACGCTGATCGGCTCCAGGATGACTTCTTAGCATTCCTCATCCTCGCTGAGGGTGTCGAGGCTGACGGAGAAGCTGGTGGCGAGGGCTCGGGGAGGGGAGAGCGGCTCGAATGGCTCTGAAAACGGGGAGATTAACTTGATTTTTGATGGAGCGAGAGAGAGATAGAGCGAGAGAGATAGAGAGTGAGAGAGATAGTGAGAGCGAGGGAGGGGGGGGGGGGAAAGTAAAAAAGAGAGAGAGAGAGGGTGAGAGAGAGCTACAATAACTCACCAAAAATTTCCGGGCTCTTCTCCCTCGGCTTCTTATCGACAATGACCTCATCATGGTCGGCAAATGTGACACGCCGCTTTTGGGCTTCCTTAAATTCAACATAAATATACTTTATTAAAAGAATAATTAATTTATAGTTATTAAATACAGTTGTACTTCCATACTAAACTTATTACGAGACCTAAGGTATCTTAAAACCCTCCAACCCACCTTGATCAACCGGGGCACCGGGGGACTGTCAGTGCGGAAGCGCTCGTCGACGCGCTCGAGCCCATTTTCGGTGCGCAGGTAGCGCGGAGTGGGCGGGCGGTGGAGACGCTTGTTGCGCTGTGCACGACGGGCCATTGTTGTAGAGTTTTTTGGGTAGATACGGTAGTTGAGAAGCTGAAAAATCGAAGTAATTTTGACGGAATTTGTATGGAAGCGGAAAAGGTTGAAAATTTGAATTAACGAAAATTTCCGTGCGCAAGCTAGCAGAGACCATTAGAAAACTCAAGACTGAGCATGAGCGCCAAATGGGCGGATCTGAAGATCTGAACCTATCCACCAGGTGGGTCGCCCTTATATGCATTCTGGGCCCGCGAGGGGGCGGGACCCAGGGCCCAGCCCACAGCCCGCACCAACTTACTCTCTGTCCGACTTTGAGAAAGAGAGAGAGAGAGAGAGAGAGACCCAGAGAGAGAGCGAAGGAGAGAGAGATGCCAGAGAAAACCCATCTTACCCGTCTCGACCTTCTTCCGGCCGGGATCTTCCGCCCGCCTGATCCGGAAGCCCGGTGAGAATTTGTATAGAAATTTGCATATCACTAAAGAGGATACTTATCCCCTTAGTACTAAAACCAAAAATCAAGCACTGGAGTACTGTTTAAGGGCAAACTAGCAGAGATCGTTGGGAATTTTAGGGCCTTGCTCTAATCTGCTGAAAGCTAGAAAAAGACAGAGAGTGGGAGAGAGAGAGAGATATATAATTCGACATATCATTAATATTCATAACCCCTTTGAATTTACGCGGAGCCCCCACCAGGTTGCGATTCCGGCTTTTCCCAACTTCCGCATCCTCGCGCTTTTGATGGGGGACCGGCCCTCAATTAGTCCGCTCAATTATGCGCCCCTGAATGTGGACCTTTCCACCGTAATCCGCCCAGTAATCTGGATTTTCTTTAGGAGATTGGAGTTGAAAACAAAAGAATCCCTCTCTCTCGCTCTCTCTCTCTCTCTCTCTATCTATCTCTCTGTCTCTCTCGCTCTGTCTCTGTCGCTCGCCCTCTTTCTGTACCCAGGGTCCAATTAGAATTCCGAAGAACTCCTCCGCTCATCAGAGGTTTCACACAAAATTGGTCGCTCGCTGTCGCCCACAAAAAAAGAGAGAACTTGGGATCAATTCATCATTGAAGTCGTGCAGGCAAAATTGCCTTTTTAGCCGATCAGAATCCGGTCGGTTGACTTGTTTCAATTTCTCCACGGGGGGCTTCTAATATGGAATTCAATAGGCAACAAGATTCTCGGCATGCTATAAAATTCCGTGCAAATTTTCAAATTTATTAGGGGTTTGTCCAGCTCCATTTAGTCATATTTAATCCCTGATCTAACCAGGTTAATTCGTTACATGAATTTCCGCCTGATTTTCCTTACGTACGTCAGCATTTAATTTTACTTAGCTTGCATATTTCCAGTTTTGCTTTATAATTTTTGAACCGATAATTCCAAGGCCAAATCGATTACGTCAGTTTATTCGGGGCTTGCTTTCGTAAAATTTACGAAAATCGCCTAGTTCGAACGCACTTCCGTCAGAAAACCATCACAACGTTCACGACCACTCAAGTTCTGACCCGTTTTTTTAGAGGCTTTACAGCTGTCCACGCGGCTTTGATAAGCCGTGCTCTCTTTGGCGGGGCTTTTTGGCTTCAGATGACCCGAAGAGGAGAGCTTGTTGTGTTCCTCTGGGGGGAAGAAAACAGCTACAGCTGGATTATTTCAGGGCAAACAACCAAAAAACGAGCGTGGAATTATACAGGTGCTTTAAATCGAGAGAGAGCGAGAGAGAGGGGAAGAGAGAGAGCGCGAGAGAGCGAGAGGGAGATAGAGCGCGAGAGACATAGAGAGAGAGATAGAAGGAGAGTGACTGAGAGAGAGAGCGAGAGCGAGCGTGAGAGGGATAGATAGAGAGATAGATAGATAGATAGATAGATAGAGAGATATAGAGAGAGAGAGGGAGGGAGAGATTGAAAGATAGAGAAAGGGACTGAGAGAGAGCGAGAGAGAGCGAGAGAGAGAGAGAGAGAGAGAGAGAGAGAGAGAGAGAGAGAGAGAGAGAAAGAATATCGCCAAATCTCAAAAACCTACGATTTATTGCTTAGGTACCACAAACTTCACAAAATTCCGAGCAACCCGAAAATACCGTAATATTCCTCTCTACCAATCTTATTTTGTTCCCAGCAATTCCCGGATTTTTCGCATCCCAGATTCCGAACGCATCGTTATAAATCCAACATTCCCAGGCCCTGTCAGGGGTAAATATTTTCCGGCAATCACCCCCCCAAATTATTCCGTTCCCATACTTTTTACGCGCCATCTCCTGCCAGCTGATTTTTGAGCGTATTTTTCCGTTCTTTTTGGCCCTTTTGAGCCCACAATCTACCAAAGAAAATTTTTCCTGATAAACAAAGGTGTTGTTTGGGGGTGAGGGTTTGAAAGGTGCTGTGGAACGACCAGGGCTTCCCCCCAGTCAATGGAATTCCCCGGAAAATAATATCCTTTTTCCGTTGTGTTCCGGACTAATCCGGAAAATCCCTCCATCAGGGATGGGCCCCGGAAAATCCATTAGGATTGGCTGACTTTTCGAGGGGTATTTTGAATGGTGGCGGCGAGGGTGGATATTAAAGTTGGGCGGAATGGGCTTAGGATTACGGTAGAAGGGTTTAGGTTGGGATCACCGGAAATCGGGCTCAGATTAGATTGTGAAATTGATGAAAAGTTCTAGCTCTTGCTCTTCCTTTGTAGATCTTCAGGTCGCGCTTGATCTCTCTCTCTCTCTCTCTCTCTCTCTCTCTCTCTCTCTCGCTCTCAGCCTCTCGCTCTCGCTCTCTCTTTTACAGCAGGTTTTCTCAAAATTTGCATACCCCATTACTACATTTTTTTATCAAAGAGCTTTGCAGAGACAGAGAGAAAGCGAGAGAGAGAGAGAGAGAGCGAGAGAGAGAGAGAGAGAGAGAGAGAGAGAGAGAGAAGGAAAGCGTGAGAAATATCAAGAGGGAAAGAGAGCGAAAAATATCTGGCATAAGCATCAGACAACAGAGAGTCAAAGAAATAGAGAGGGAGAGAGAGAGAGAGGGGGGGGGGAGAACAAGCGCGAAAAAAAGAGCTAGATAGCTAAAGAAACCCTATTTTCACCTCCAAACCTATTTTTAGCGCTTGATCCAGAGCCAAACCCAAATCCAAAAATACCCCCTTGCCTCTCCCACAAGCCATCAAAAAGCAATCTCACGCCCTTGATGTCGGCTAAGAATAGTAAGGCCCCACCACTCAACCTCCCACCCGACGGGGGTCATTTGTTTAGCCGTGTACTCGGAGTGTCGAAGGTGTGAACGCGGGCCAATCTTATCCTCGACGGCTCTCAAAAACCCCAGGCGGTCGGCTTTTTCTTCGAGTTTCGAGCCTGTCACAACGATCAGCACACTGTTTTGCGCACAAAAAATGTGTTCTGAAGGAGTCTGGCGGAACCCGGAGGAAGATCGGGGATTTTGGGGGTTAAGGCTTGGGGTAGGGTGACTTTAAAGGGAATGAATGGGAAGGCGGTATGGCATTTTTCTCAATGCGCCAGGACTGGTTGAAAGAGATCGCTTGGGAAATGCAGTCTCTGATGGCAAACTAGCAGTGATCCTTTCGGAACCAAAAACCGGACGCGGGGCAGGCTAGCAGAGATTCTTTCGGATCCGAAAATTTCTGGAAAGTAAGCTAGCAGTTACGCTTTAGGAATCCGTAAGGTTCAAGGAACTGGCTAGCATAGATCCTGTGGGAAATGGATTTTTTTGATGGCAAACTAGCGGAGATCCTTTCGGAACCAAAAACCCGTTGTAGGGCAAGATAGCAGAGATCCTTAGAGACCTGACCATTTTTCCAGAAGGCAGGCTAGCAGAGAGACTTTGAGAAATGGAATTTGACGGTAAACTAGCAGAGATCCTTTCGGAACCGAAAACACCTTTTTGGGCGTGCGAGCAGAGATTTTTTGGGAACCGGAATATTTTCTGAAGGCAGGCTAGCAGGGACGCTTTAGAAACCAATAAGGCTAAAGGTGAAGCTAGCAGAAACCCTTCAGCAGCAGATATTTTTGAAGGCAGGCTAGCAGAGATTCTTCTGGAACCTAAAAATTGTTGAAGGCAAGCGAGCAGGGATTCCTCAGGATTCTTTTTTGTGGAAGACAGGGAATTCTAGCAGAGATTCTTTGGGAACCGGAAGTTCTTCTGAAGGCAGACTAACAGTGATTTTTTTGGATTGAACTTCCGACTGTTTTTTTGGCAACTAAGAAGACTCAAAGACCGTCCGCCAGCCTACACTCCCATATCTCTCACATCACCTGAAGATCCGAGTTGTTATTTGTTATGACATTTAATGGATTTTCCATGGGATTGATAGAGCACTTTGAAGTATCCATTAATGTGTCCACTCCCACTCTGGATTACTCGGCACGGTAGGATTTCCACTAAAGATTTGGTATCGTAATCCTTCACTTGTTTTTCGGATTCTTCTGCAAGTGCATTGGAGTGAAATGGAATTGGAAAGGTGCTCCAGCGGATTACTGTGTTCCATTGGGCAATACAGTAACAAAAACCAGGACAATTTTGCGATGAATTCCGTTACGCTCCAAATCACAATCTACCGTACGAGCAGACGCCCGCGAACTGAAAATAGCTAAAAGCTTCGCGTACCGCTAGTTTCGAGTTGAGTACCCTCCCCCCCCCATCGTCGTAGCTAGTAGCAATCTGTACTGTGCTCACGGTTTTTGGGTTTGTTGACTCTGCTTTTTTCTGTTTTCTCTCTCTTTCTCTCTCTCTTTCTCTTTCGCCCACTCTCCCCATTTCTCTCCGAGGCTGAACACTACGCGCCGCACCTCAAAAACACTTCAAGCCCTGATCCAAAATCAGCGCAATCAAGGGTGGCCCATGAAAAAACCGCGACCTATGGAGAGCTACCGTATCCCGGTGTCGTCAGGATTGCAGGCAGTAGCAGCGATTCTTGAGGAATGCTAGTCTATGGTCAGGCGGGCGAGACGAGATCCTTGAGGACCACCAGTTTTAGAAGAATTTTAGAATGATTCGCATCCCTCAGTTTTCCACCAGTTTTCGAGGG